CATGTTGTGCGGATGAATAAAAATGTCCCAGCCCAAAAGGCATATAAAAACGAGCCTACTGATGGTTCCCGTAGATGGAAAGACCAAGTAAAAAACAACATCTTGGAACGTGGTCTTCCAAATTGGTGGACTTGCGCACAAGACCAAACCGCTTGGAAATCTTTTTTAAGCTCGGCTTATGGAACAACCGTTCTGTAACAAGCCAGCTAAGTAAAGTACATTAATAATTTTTCTAATATATAAAATCTAAAGCATACTTTCAAGCAGTTGTATATATTAATATATCATTGCATACTTTTAATGTATGTGTGTGTGCGTGATGATGTGTGATGACAACATTTAAAATTCATGTTCTACCATATGTTAATTTATTTGTTTAACAAACAAAAACACAATCATGTATAATTATGATATCATTATTTTTATATTTAAACAAAACTTGATGATATTCATGGTCATGTATCGTTCCCCCTCCCCCTTCTCCGCTCCCGTCTTTCCGGCCATCAGCCAATAAATAAAACAAATAAAGGCCGGGTTTTTGCAATGTGAAAGGACAAACAATTTTAATACAGCTAACAATGACAAGAACAACAACGACAACAACAACACCACCATGAAGAATATGAGCAATTATAACAATAACACGCATGTCATCTGTCAGTGACAAACGGTCATCAATCAAGTTGTAGATGGAAATCCCTTTGGTCCTTTCGACTTTTGCGGGTCATTGCAAATCGTCAGAAATTGAAACGTTTAACCCCACAAAAATATTGGAACATGAAAAACGAGGGTGTGGGGTGGGTGGCCGAGTGAGTGAGCCAATCCCAAACTGTTCATTACAGAACAACCATTGATATGTAGTCGGCCGTCAGTAAAAGTCATTTAGTTAAGTTTTTGACCATAACCAAAAAAATGTTATACCCTTCACCACAGCGTGGTACAGGGTATTTGTCCATATGTTTGTAACAGGCAAAAGAAAACGAGATAGACACATGGTTCCTTTTGAGAATATGCATAGAATCACTTTCTAAGTCGATTTATGCATGTCCGTCCGTCTGCCCATTTTAAATTGTAAACAAAGTACAGGTCGCATTTATGATCCGAATTGGATGAAATTTGGCACAGCTAGTCTATTTGGCCCAAGGACGAACCCTATTGAAATTGGGAAAAATCGGTTCAGATTTAGATATAGCTCCCATATATATTTTCGTCCGATTTCATGTAAATGGTGTTTCAAAGTCCCTATATATCTTCCGATTTTCACGAAATTTGGCATAGCGTACTGAATTGAGCCTAGAATGATGTGTGTTAAGTTTCATGAAAATCGGTTCAGGTTAAGATATACCTCCCATATATATTTTCGTCCGATTTTATGTAAATGGTGTACCAAAATCCCTATATATCTTCCGATTTGCACGAAATTTGGCATAGCGTACTGAATTGAGTCTAGAATGACGTGCGCAAAGTTTCGTGAAAATCGTCCGATTTTATGTAAATGGTGCCCCGAAGCCATATATATCTTTCGATTTGCACGAAATTTGGCATAGCGTAGAATGATGTACGATAAGGTTTGTGAAAATCGTGAAACCGTGAAAATCGGTTCAATGAAATGAAATTTGGCATAGGTCCCAGAAAGGCATAAAGATCTTATAATCAAGTTCGTTCAATTTGATGTCAATGTTCTTTCGAAAAAGGCGGAGTCTGTTAGGAGACATATGCAGAATATACCCAAAGTGGTGAAGGGTATTATATAGTCGGCCCAGTCTGACTTTACTACTTTCCTTACTGTTTTTTTTTTCTCTGATAAATCTCTCCGAATAGAGAAGGCCATTTAAGGTTTTTGGGTTGAATAAGTTTTCGTATTTTTCGGGTGGGGTAAATATACAAACACACATTTCTAGAAAAGATATGACCCACTTTTTGATAAAAATAAAACTTTTAACAATTTATTCATGCCATTTACCACAAAACAAAAACAATGGAAAGGAAATCAAAAAGTTTTGTTCCATATTTTCTCTGGCTGGTTGATATGAAATATTTTTTGTCGTCCATAAACAACTATGGCACATTTAATTGCCACTGGTCAAAATTGTTGTTATGATTTCTTTTTTGGAAATCTCTCTTTTATTATTTCTCTTATCTGGTGGTTACTTAAAAAAAAAAACTCCGAAATGTCCCATATATATGAAACATATATTTTTGAATCATAAATAACAACCGAGGTCGAACGTCATCATATGTGTCGTAGTTCCGTTTGATGTTTCCTTTCTACGGCCACTACTATCTGTCTATCCGCCTGCCTGCCTGTCTTTCTGTCAGCAGTTTCTTGTTCGTCATAACTCTGACGACGAACAGATTGCCAAGGGGATTTCGGAATGAAATTGTTGTGAAATGTTAATACATTTGGGAAATTAATTGTTATAAATTCACACGGACACTCACACACCCATCCGTACACCTACACAACCACAGCAATTAAACATTTAAGGAAAACCAACAGCCGCCGCTACACACAACAGAGACAAATGACATAAATTGAAATAAATGACATTAAATTAATTGCATGTGTGTGTATGTGTTTAGGCTTGTTAATTATACGTGCTGAAACTGGACATTAAATAATATTCCAATTAAATTATTTAAATATATAAGAATTTAATACAATTTTTATTTTTTTTTATAATAAATGGAAGTTACTAAAAATAAAAAACAGTCGAGGAAGCATCTAGCCAAAAATCTCCACCAGACAATAGATAGCCTCACAAATAGAAGGTATACCAGGAGACAATCCATAAAATATCGTATCTGGCAACCTTTGAAAGAAATCAATAACTTAAAAAATGCCAAGAAAATTATCAATAGCAGAGATACTTAATATTATGTGGGTACCTACCATGCGGCCATACTCCACGGTGCTGTAAACACCAGCTAAATACAAAGCGTCAACCAACGTCCCCACACCAAAATGCAGGTACCAATCGATCACATGTATTTGGACGTTATCATGAGGAGCGGAGTCCAAAAAAAAAACTCCTGCCTTTCAATGGGGTCAAGCACCCGGTTGTAATGCAACTCCACACCGAGCCGAAGCTCTTCCCTCGATTTGGCTATAAACCACTCACAGTGCGATGCTCCCTGAATGGCCAACACCAACTGCCAGGCTAGATCCGCAAACCTAACACTTGTGCTACGGAAACCTTCGATCAGGTTCATAGTCGAAGCTGTTGCGAGTAGAACCCCAAACAGTTCGAGAGGGGAACCCTCATACTATATAGCCTCCGCCCAGCTGCATAGCCGAAGCTACTACCATTAGAATTAATATTTCAGGCTCTATACAATGGAACATTCGCTGAAAGGGGCTTAAAAGCAAAAGTGACCACCAACATTGGATCTTATCAATGCGGTTTCAGTCCTGGCAAATCTCTGCGCCAAATCCTGAAAAGGCCCACGAAAAATACATAGACACATTTTTGTCGACTACAAAGCCGCATTCGTCAACCCAATTTGATCAGAGGCGTTTAAAACCATATCTGCGTTTGACATTCCTGCAAAATTAATACGGCTATGCAGGATAACTTTAATTGGTCCAAGTTCAGCAATTAAAATCGGAAAGGACCTCTCGGACGAGGTTCTGAACACAAACAACACATGTTAATAGCCTACGCCGACCACATCAACATAATGGGTCGAACATTGCGAGCGGTAACAGCCAATTTTGAACGAATTGAGAAGGAGTATGCCAAGGTGGTACTGACAGTAAATGCCGAGAAGACCAAAATGATTGTATCAACGCGCAAGACGTCAAGTAGACTCGGACCAACTGTGTAACTTGATAATGACAGCTTCGAAGTAGTAAACGATTTTATATACCTCGGTGCCGCCATAAACAAGCTTTGAAATCCGGAGGAGAATAGTGCTGGCCAACAGATGTTACTATGGTCTGAATAAGCCACTCAAGAGCAAGGCCACCAGACCAAACTCACACTCTACAAGACGCTGATTTTACCCGTGCTAGCATGGGTGTGAAACAGGGGTACTTGCGCAAGCAGCTCTTGGAGTGATTGAGAGAAAAAATTCTCCGGAAGATCTATGGGTCGACGGTGAATATCGCCGTCGAATGCACCCTGAACTGTACCATATATTCTCGGACATCGACATAGTCAGACGTATCGAGCTGCAGCGACTACGTTGCCTAAGTCATGTTGTGAGAATGGATGAGGAAGCCCAGCACAAATGGAAATGCCACGAATTCGATGGAAAGATCAAAGTGAAGACAACATCTTGAAACATGGTCTTTCAAATTGGAAGAACTGCGTATATATTCGACGCGCTTGGAAATCTAATGGAACAAATGTTCTGTCACTAGATTTGTGATTAATATAAAGATAACTAAGACCATGATAATGTATAACATCAGTACAGAAAACATCATGCTACAAGGCCATTTTCTTAACGATGACAATCCTCACGAAAGTTCATTTTCATGCTAAGGCTGGAAATCTTTACCAAAAAATTCAATCGGTTTAACATCATCACAAGAATTTTATACAATAGGAATGATAGGAGATAGCGCAACGCAGAGGAAAATTGCAACACTACAACTACACAAAATTCAACCACTACACAAAATTCAACCACTACACAAAATTCAAGGATCACTACGCAAAATTCAAGAATGCAAGGATGCCACTAGACAACGATAGATGGCAGAACCATCACCTAGAACGAACCACCACAGACCAAATATCTACTTAGCTGGAATGAAAAACCACGTTAACACAAGGACTAACCGAGCCCTATACCACCAAGGACGAAACAAACTAATATCAAATTTAGAGATTTTAAATCTGTTCGTTCATTTGGAATTTCGTTTGAAAGAATTCGAAATATTGGTCTCATACTAATGTTCAACACTCCGTCTCAATACCAAATATACTAATTTTAGTACAAATTAGGTCTTTTAGTACAAATTAGTTTTTTTCGTATTCGTTAAAAACGATGCATTTCACCCCTTTCATTCTTATATTTAGTGCATATAGGAGTTTGGTATTGAAGAATATTAGTCCACGGTCCCATACAACTGTGCCACTTAATTTTCCATATTTTGGGGATCGATCTTTAGGTATAGAACCTCAAAAAAAAAAATCGAGTACTTTTATAGATATTTTGATGGTCCTTAACGAATTTTCCAAGAAGATTTTCTTTTTCTACATAGCCTCCACACAAAGGGCACTCGTCATTTCTGTTACCCATTTTTCAATCTCATCGATTTAAGATATTTTGAATGTTAACCTCAGGTATAAGAATGTCGGGTCTGTCAAACTAAACTTTCTTTTTATATATTAAGACTTTTATTTTTTATAAATTATAATTTTTATAATATATAACACACACACATTTTCTCTTATATGACTTCCACAACTCGACTCTAATTGAATTGAATCTGCACCCAACTGGCTACCAATTTTTATTTTTATTGTTTATTTTGTTAGTTGTTTTCCGTTTTTATTCTTCTATTTAAAATTCATACTCGGAACAACTGAACATTTAAATAAAATTCATACCAACCCAAAAAAATATGAATAAACAAAAAATAACATCCGTTTGCCGAACTCTGTACTACAACTTGACTTGAAATGAAATGCAACTCGGTCGGCCAAAAATTCACAGTTGGTGCCCGATATTTTTTGTTATTAAGTGGTGGGAAGCCATTGACATCAACAGCAAAAATTTCGGATGCTCACAGAATGGTCATTGGCATAGTCATGCCGAAAATGACGACAACGCCATCTAGAGATGGTTGTATACAAATATTGATGACGAGGGTTGGGTCCGGATTTTAAAATTTTGTATTTTCAAGCCCTTATACAAGGCGTGGATTTTTTAAAAGTATTTTTTCAAGGCGTGGATTTTTTTAAAAATATGTTTTCAAGGCGTGGATATTTAAAAGAATATTTTTTCAAGGCGTGTATTTTTTAAAAACATTTTTCCAAGGCGTGGATTTTTTTAAAAATATTTTTTCAAGGCGTGGATTTTTTTAAAAATATTTATTCAAGGCGTGGATATTTTAAAGAATATTTTTCCAAGGCGTGGATATTTTTTAAAATATTTTTTCAAGGCGTGGTTTTTTTTAAATATTTTTTTCGGGCGTGGATTTTTTAAAAAATATTTTTTTCAGGCGTGGATATTTTTTTAAAAATATTTTTCAATGCATGGATTTAAAAAAAAAATTCAGGCGTGGATATTTTTTAAAAATAGGTTTTCAAGGCGTGGATTTAAAAAAAAATTCAAGGCGTGGATTTAAAAAAAAAAACACAAGGCGTGGATTTAAAAAAAAAATTCCAGCCGTGGATTTAAAGAAAAATCCAGGCGTGGATTTTTTGAAAAATATTTTTTCAAGGCGTGGATTTTTTTAAAAATATTTTTTCAAGGCGTGGATTTAAAAAAAAATTCCAGATTTTTTGAAAAATATTTTTTCAAGGAGTGGATTTTTTTACATACTTTTTTCAAGGCGTGGATTTTTTTAGAAATATTTTTTTTTCAAAGCGTGGATTTTTTTAAATATTTTTTCAAGGCGTGGATTTTTTTAAAAATATTTTTTTCAAAGCGTGGATTTTTTTAAATATTTTTTCAAGGCGTGGATTTTTTTAAAAATATTTTTTTCAAGGCGTGGTTTATTTAAATATTTTTTCAAGGCGTGGTTTATTTAAATATTTTTTCAAGGCGTGATTTTTTTTTAAATATTTTTTCAAGGCCTGAATTTTTTTTTAAATATTTTTTCAAGGCGTGAATTTTTTTTTTTAAATTTTTTTCAAGTTCCTATTTTTAGGCGCTGAAGTTGCACTTCATGTTATTTAATATTCATTTATAGAATTTTGTTCTAGAACTACCTGATCGTACCCCCTAAAATATCGATTAAAAAATAGTAGCTTCAAAAATTTGTTTTTATTGCTCCGCTCAATTTTTGCGGAACATTTGAACGCCTGTAGTCCATTACAAAGCAGCCATTGATATGGATTTTATTTTGCAATTAGTTTTGTTTTTCGATTTTTTGTGGAACATTTGAGCTGTTAGTCCATCTGGCCTCAAGTGGTTTTGGATAAGTTAAAGATGAGAACGAAAAAAAAACAACAATAACTACAAAGCCAAGTAAAGTTCATTTAAACAAAAACAACAACATTGTTTAGTTTAACATTTGTTTATTCATGTTCGTGGTACTGCTGCAGTAGCAGCATCATCAACAGGATCCGCATAGTTCGTCGTTCAATGGCACCTGTATCCTTGACTAAAAAAGAAGAAGAGAGCAGAAAAATAACAAACGGAAAAACTCGGTTATTATTTCATGAAACGGTCATTGCCTTGGCTATTTATTGCGCTCTCCACACGACCAACACCACCACAGGGCAGGCGGGTAGGTACTCATGTCCTATTCGCTGAATTCTGTAGTAGCTTAGGTCAGGTTGGCTGGTTGGCTTGGCTATTGGACTTAATGTTATTGCAGCACTACAACTTTAGAACAATTTTATAATTGCCTTAATACAAAAAACCAACAACAACAATAACTACAACTACAATTGTTGCCGTTAGTTAGCTATTAGTGGGATGCTCTTGACTTCTTTTTTTGCGCAATCGGAGCTTTAAATCCTCTTCTTGCCTTGTTTGTTGTAATTTTTTGAAAGTTTGTTGTTGTTGGAACTACTACTGCTCCATTTCCTCCTCCTCCTCCTGATCAACCTCAACCACAAAGTACCACTTCCACTTGACTTGATTTTGTGACTAAGAAGCATAGCCAGAGCCTTCAATTATCTGCCATAGCATAAACAGACCGGACCTGCCCTCAGGCAAATGCTCTTAATTAGTAATCACGTTCATGTGCAGAGCCATAAAAAAATTATTAAAGGTTCCACTGTCGCATGCCATGGCATTCCATTGCAATTCGAATTTCTCATCACCATCGTCATCATCGTTCATTATCTCTTCGGTCTGTCCCACCTGAGGCGGCAAGTTTTCCTTTAATTGAGTGATAACAAGACAAGAGCACTATGTTATCGTGTCGTTCTCGTTCCAGTTCATAGAGGATAAGTTGCTGCATCACCTCCCAATTTGTTGTTGTGTGTGTGAATATCAGCATGACCACCATGCTGTGCATCGGAATCAGGTAATTGGAAAAGCTGTAAATGTGTCAAATGTCGAAAAGTTTTAGCATGACAATTTCTTCAACAATTATGCACGGAAATCAATAAAATTCCAATTAAGGGCATTAACCATGGCACGCACACACATAAACATACATGCAAATAACCAATCACACATACACACTAACTCACAAATTGGCATACATAAATACAGGTGTTCACTCCCATAAATTCATGTCAGTGTGGTGTAGTTACTAAGGCTTCCACAACAGCTGGAAGTAATGACATTTATCCTATGTGCAGGATAACAAGAAGGATAAAATTGCCAAAAGGAGAGAAAATTAAATCATGACAAAAGTTATAAGGACTTTTAAATGAATAAAAATATTTTTCAAGGATCCAACGAAGGCGTAGATTTTTAAAAGAATTTTTTTTCAAGGACTACCAAAGGCGTGGATTTTTAAAAGAATCTTTTTTCAAGGATCCAACAAAGGCATGGATTTTTAAAAGAATCTTTTTTCAAGGATCCAACAAAGGCATGGATTTTTAAAAGAATCTTTTTTCAAGGATCCAACAAAGGCATGGATTTTTAAAAGAATCTTTTTTCAAGGATCCAACAAAGGCATGGATTTTTAAAAGAATCTTTTTTCAAGGACTACCCGAGGATATTTTGTCAAGGACCATCGTAGCAATAAGCGTTGATATTTTTTATTGTCTTAAATTTTAGTAGGTTGCGCTGATTTCCATTTAACTTGAGTTTTAATTCAATCATCGCATAGTTCAATTTTATTCCGGCTTCGGCCTGTTAACCATAGAATCAATGGCCACAATGGTTTCTATGTAGTGTGAAGAAGGTATTTAATTTACAAGAGATGAATTAGTGAATGAATGGCTGAAGTCATACTTCATCGATGCATTGTATGCCATTAAGAGGATTCATTGTGGAGATTGGAAATGCGATGGGTTGCCAGCTATTCAGCCATTCAAACAAATCCTTTTGTAGGTATTTGTAGTTCAGTTGCCCTTCCGGCTTCATGGAAAATATTGTGCTTGTAATTGCAGGTTAAGAACGATGGTCGGTTACATCGGTAATTAATTGTGGAGAACGTTGCTGTATCGGCTGTTTGGTTAGGCAAATGTATGTGCAGGTCGTTCCTATGGATACCATTTATTTTCTTCTCTTCCCTTAGGCGATTTTATTTTATCAATAATTTTTAGACTTCCCCCTCACCAGTGTGCCACATGTCATACCTTGTTTTGTGAATATACACCTGTGTCCTATCCTAATGGCATAAATTAGAATTCCATCATTTCTACACATGCTGTTTGCCTCAAACTTCCCCCCTCTGTACTCATCCATTAAAATTTTAAATTTGATCAATGCCATCGATTTATTTATTACTTTATCGCCAGCGCCGAACATATTTTAGAACAATCAAAATTTATCAATTTCCATTTTGCATAAATGGAACATTTTACTCGATATTATTGTCAATAAAAAGCAATTTGCATCTGATATTCATTCATGCCACACCGGCGGCATTTTATTCGCACACACACACACACCAAAAGCAGCTGGAGCAGCATATTTAAAACTAGATGTGTGTGTACATATTATGTTACGAGGTTGGTGTTATGAGAAACGGATGTATTGGTCCTTGAAAAAAATATTCTTTATAAAATCCACGACTATTGAAGGTCCTTGAAAAATATTCTTTATAAAATCCACAACTGTTGAAGGTCCTTGAAAAATATTCTTTATAAAATCTACGCCTATTGAAGGTCCTTGAAAAATATTCTTTATAAAATCCACGCCTATTGAAGGTCCTTGAAAAATATTCTTTATAAAATCCACGCCTATTGAAGGTCCTTGAAA